GAAAATTGAAAATGTAAATATCATAAATTCGCGGAAATAGTAAGTAAAAAATATTTGTAAATGAACAGTGCAACACTCACAAATCACGATGAGGTCCATTTCAACGGCTTCATGCAGAAGTTGGGAGATGTTCGTGTCGAGTATGTTTGAATATGCAATGACGATATCAAATCGTGTCTTCCCTTTGGTTAATGTTGATAATGCGGCAGATTTATCTTCAACTCTAGTAACTAAAGGAAAAAAATAAATAAATCAACAAAGTAAATGATAGTAAAATATAAAATAAGCTTTTCTTAATGTTCACAACAGTATGTATATTCAAGTATAGTATATGAGTAGTGAAAAAACAGATTGAATTTAGACTAAGTGATGTTTTCATTTAACCAGAAAAAGAAAAAAGATTAAAAATTGATGGATGTCGTTAGTGTAAAATTAGCGCGAGAGTCGTTTAATTCAAAATTAGCGTGTCAGATAGAGAACGTTGGCGCAAAATTAGCGCAATGTATTATTCTTGATGTCTTTTAATAAACAGTATAGACTTGATATGGTGATAATTTTAAAGCTTCATGTATCATGCCAGATCTTGGAGAGAAATAATCTGTTAATTTTCATTTTGTGCTTTAACAGGACTTAATTAAACTGATTTAATTTAATATTTACCTTCATAGAAAAAGTATTGTAACATCTGCATTATTATGTCATCATTATCTACAAGCAACACATGGAGCTTTTGGTCCATTGGAGGAGGTAATGAAGGTGCAAAAAATGGTGCTCCTAAAGTGTGGCCTCCCAATGAATTCATGATTTTTATTTTTATTTTTTTTTAACTATTGTTTTGTGTTGTTATGTACTCTGTATTGACTAATGCTAATGAACAGAGTTCTGCAAGAAAAAATAAAATTAAATTAAAGTTGGAGTTGTGATTTGAAGCAGGACATGAAGTGCTGTTTATATAGTGAAATTCTTTGGTAAAGTTGGTTTTAGCGACGACTCGTTGGTTGACTTTGTTGAGCCGCTTTTTCTCTTTTCAAACGCGGTTAATAAAATAATATTATGTGAGATTACCGATGACGCTCAAAATCAAATTACCTTTTTAATTACATATTACGATATATTAGGACGTGTGGGGCCCAAAGATGACTAATATTACCCGTTCAAATCTACTAGTGTATACCCCGTGCGATGCACGGGAACAATATTAAACTAACAATATTATAAATAGATCTCGAGTTTGAGTCACTCAATGACGGAAGTGGAAACTACTATTGATCCTATTTAAAAAGAGGAAGAAAAAAAAATAATTATAAATTAAAGAAGAAGATAAACAATACTTAATAATTATAAATTAAAGATTCGGGGTCAAACAATGTAAAATTATTTTGTATAAAAGAATAAAAAAATTTGATTACACATCATTCAAAATTATTATTATACTTTTTTGTATGATTAGCTTATAATATTTGTAAAAATATTAGTAATTAGACCGATGAAAATTAACTTCTTAAAGTAGATAATGGATTTATAGTAGTAATTATGAATTTGTTTCTATTATTTTTTTCTTTTCAAGATTATTGATTTCTAGTAGTAATTATGAATTGATTTTTATTTTATTTCTTCAAATCTGTATAGATAAAAGATGAGATTTTTTAAACACGTGAGACGTATGCAATGAGATTTTCTAACATAAGAGATAAGCTCGTGTAGATTTATACTAAAAATAAGAAAAAGAAAAACAAATATTTATTGTCAAACAACGGCTTTGATAAACTAAAAAACAGGAAAAAGAGAAACAAATCTTTACACAATTAATGAGCCGATTTTTTTGCCTATTCAGATTTGTTCAACAATTACTATATATAGGATATATTTAATGATTTTGGCGGGAAAAAGTTTCTAAATTTGTAAAAAGGTTATTCTTTTTATATAATGATAGATTGTGTAGAGAAAATCATACGACATGATTTAGTTACACTAGTATTCGACCTGTGCATTTGCACAGATATAAATAAATTATTGTGAGTCTGTATGCATATAATGATTAATTATTTTTCTTTCACTTTTTTGCAGACCAAATTTACAATTAAAAGAGTTGGAATATTTTTTTTTAAATTGCGTTTATCTGATTGGATATAATGTATATTTTGGTACGTCTTTTATTTGTGAATTATTTATTATTTATTTAGGAATTTCAAATATATTTTTTATTTTTTAAAAAAAAATTAAATGTAACAACAATAATAACATCTAATCACATTATACGGTCAACACATTATATGGTCAACTGTCATTAATCAAAAGTTTAAATGATTTTTGTAATTTTGAAGTGATGAGTATTAATTATTTAATGATTAAATGAAAGATTAAATACATCAAAATGTAACGGTTTTTGGAGGAAAAATTATTAAATTGCCACATAGGTAAAATTAAATAGGTTTTATTTAATGCTATTAGCTAGTAATTATATATATATAGATTTTCTATATTAAATCCAACATCTCAATTTCTTCACAAAAACATATATATGCAAGAAAAAAGTTCTGCAAATCATGCGCGAAACCTCTAAATCCATAAACCGTCAATTCTTTATTCCTCAGATGGCGTATAAAGCTCATAATAGTTATATCTTATACTCCATTTGTTTTCTTTTTAGATGTCGTTGTAGGATGTCAACTTTTTTGCAAATTAGTCATTCTTACAACTTTATTCTCTTTAACAAATCTTATCTCTTATAATTATCTTTAAAAACCACCACTAGTAGAAAAAACACTTTTCACATCGGGTGTTTACATCGGTTTTTTCACAACCGATGCAAAAAACACTTTTTACATCAGTTGTAACATCGGTTTTTACAAAACCGATGTGAATCGTCATCAGGCGCATCGGTTCTTATAAAACCGATGTGAACAATTTGGTATAAAATATTATTTACATCGGTTCTATGTATAACCGATGTTAAAAATATAATATACAACATCAGTTTAAAAAAACCGATGTATTCTAGTATAAAAAATACTTTTCACATTGATGGTTTACATCGGTGTTGTTCAAAACCGATATTATATTATGATCTTTCCTTGGGCAAATCGGTTATTGTAAACCGATGTTAGGCATCATATTATTATTTAATATAGGAAAATAACTGTTCAATTCTCCAACTCTCCTTCCTCACGCTCAGAGCCTCCAACCCTATTTCTGCAATTTATTTCACGCCCCCCGTCGCCGTAACAATCGCCGTCCACCGCACTCGGCCTTCGCCTTCCGCCGCACTCGGCCTTCGCCTTCCGCCGCACTCGGCCCTTGCCGTCCGACGTCTTCCTAACTCTCGTCTCGCCCAAAATCGATAGAAGCTCTAGTCGCACTTGGCCTCCGTCCGTCCCAATCCCTAGTCGTCCGCCACACTTAATCCGCTCGTCGCCGTAACAATCTCCGTCCGTTGCACTCGGCCCTTACCGTTCGTCGTCTTCCTAACTCCCGTTTCGCCCAAAATCGATCGAAGCCCTAGTCGCACTCGCCCTCCGTCCGTCCCAATCCCTAGCCGTCCAGCACACTAAATATGCCCTCGCCGTCCGTCCCAATCCCAGTCGCGCGCCGCCCGTCAGCCGCTCTTAGACCCTAGAAACTCAAATACGGTAATGCCGATGAAATTTATATTGTAGTGAATTTAGTCATGTGTGTTTTCTGAATGTGCCAATATGTTGCTGTTTAATTGGAAAAAATGTGGCAGCGTAATCATATTATGCAGCTTATTGTTGTTGTTAAAGGCATAGGCTTTAACTGCCACAGTGAAAACTTTTGTGTGTTTTCCTCAATTTTATTGTTTAGTAATCTTTAAAAGTTCCAGCTGTAATCGTCTTTTCTGATGTAGCAGTTCCAGCTTTCTATTTAAACCTTGCATTTGCTAATTGCTAACTTTTATTTCCTGTTCAGAATTGATAATAAAGTCCCCTTCTCGCATTTCGACTCGTAATTTTTTATTTTGAGCTGGATTTGTTGGCATGTGCATGTGACTGATTCTATTTGGTTCTGAGAAGGGAACTCTCGAATGTGTTCATGTTAATGATTTATGTTAATAGATTTTATTCTTGTAGCAGTTGCCCTTTATCAATTTTATATTTTAACAATAATAATGTGTATATATATAATATTGAGTTATCCTGATGTAGAGACAAAGTTGATTATCTATTGTAATCACAAAGTACAAGATAATGTCCTTCTTTTGGCATACAAAACTAATTTGTTGGCACTTTGTAATTGCACAATAAAACTGAACTAGCAGTCAAGAGAATGATTCTTGAGTTGAGAAAATATGAGTTCCTCTTCGTAATTGTGCCTTTTTTCTCTTTTTCTTTTTCTTTTTCTTTTTTTTTTGTTGGTAAATGCCCTATAACACTACAAAATGTCGAAGCCTCACAACCAGTAGATATGCAGAAAATGATATTTTCAATTAAATCTGTCTCACCCTTTTTCTTGTTTTAGTGGTTATATAAATTGGAATTAAATAATTTCTTGCACCAAGGAATATGAAATGGAAGATTCTTTACTGATATTCTGAGCCGACAATACCACTCTTCCTTGGGTTTCTGTTCCCTTTTAATTTTGTTCAATAGTCCATAGTTGGCTGAAGATTCAGTCTGATAAGTACTATGGCTTTTAGATTAAGTTGATGTGTTGGACAAGTAACTAATGTGCTGCATTTGCAGATGAAGAAGACCTATTTTAGCTAATGTTATAGTGTTTTCTGACTTGCTTGTGGCTTGCTAATTCTTGTATGTTCTTCAAATTCAGAAATCTGAAGAGCTTTTGGTGTTTGCTGCCCTCAATCCAGAAAATGAGATATTGCACACTCTTGTATTTTTAGCTAAATTTATGTTTTGGTCACAGGTGCAAAGTTTCGTTTGTTTCATGTTCTTTTTAAGTATTTTCTTAAGTTTTATACGTTTATTAATATCATTGTAAAATGTTAATACATGTCATGTCTTGTGCTTGCCTCTTGGAGCTTTTTTCTGACTGTGTGGTTTGGAAATCTTGTGCAGATAACTAATTTGCCATTTTCTTTATACTCTACTTTTGTCATTGAGGAACGCCATGAGTTCAACAAGGTAGTTTCGTCATTTGGTCATATTACACACTTAATAACAATTAGACTTTCACGTTTTTAACTTGATCTTTGTATTAAATTTTACACAACTCACATTTGCTGGTGATAAGCATATCTGTGATTTTGCAGTAAACAGTATGGTTATTCTTCAGGGATATGATCAAAGGAATTCTTTTATCTGCTGTGATTGGTCCACCTATTGTAGCTGCTATCATAATTATTGTGCAGGTATTTTTTCAGTAAAAATATACGGGATATTAATGAAATCTAAATTTAATAAGTTTTTGAATTATTAATATATTAATAATTCAAAAACTAAATTTAATAAGATTAAAATATAAAATTATTACACAATCTATTAAAATCGTAATTTTTTTAAATTAAAACGACATCTAAAAAGAAAAAGAGAAAATAAGTAGAAAAACGACATTTATGCAAAGTTAGCGCAAGATGTCGTTAGTGCGAAATTAGCGTGGAAAATTTATTTGAATTAAATTGTGATCACTATTAAGACCAAAAGTATAAACCAATTGAGATTCTTCTAGGGAAAATTTCATTCAATCCATGGAAACTTTAATTGTGTGATCAAAACACACCCACACGTTTTGGTCGATCGAGCCTCACGATGTCTGCTGAGGTCTGCTGGAACTACAATCTTGTTCGATTGTAGTTTTGTTGTTCTACCCATGTTTTGATTATAGGTGGTGATGGGTTTTATATATTTTATGTGCAGTTTATATAGTTTTTTATATNGTTTTTAATAAATTGTAAAGGTAATATAATAAACTTAAGACAAACTAAAAATAATCCATAAAAAAATTATAAAAAAATATATTTGAGCATAGAATTGAATTTGTTGTAGAATTAATATATTTTGGGATATTGTTTCTGAAAAGTTATAAGATATGTCATTTTGTAGCCTATTTTATTTTTGTTTTTGAATGTGGTATAGAAATGTGCTTTAGCCAATTTATTTGGACACATACATTAATTGTTGAATTCTAAATTTACAGGCCCAACCCTATAACAAAAAATTAATAAAATAATAAAAAAAGCCCAATCATATATATACTTAAAAAGTTGAGCAATAATTTGGCCCAATGTTGAGCCCACGCACGAGACACACTTTCAGTAATCTTCTCCTTTCTAGTTTCTACCTTTGCAAACGCCGTGCACCGCCGACTACCGGGCGGCCGTACTCTTGCCGGTAGGGCTTTGTAATTTACATACCAAATCGTTCGTTATGTTGTGTGGACTTCAATATATGCGTAATTTCGACGACCCCGTACCCGGCCTTCGGGCTACCAGAATTCTATGAAGCTTACCGTCTAAAACCTCTTGTATCAAGGATCATATCGATAATTTTGGATTTTGATTCGGTGAATGGTGGGGTGTCGTGTGTGTGTTTTGTGTGTATGTTGTGTGTGTGTGCTGTGTCTACGTGTGGATTTCTGAATCTTGGGGTGAAATAAAAGAGTATGAAAGTTCTTGGGAGTTCATTTGAAATTTAGTTATGTTTCGGACTTAATTGTGTTCTGGGGAGTTCTATTTTTGGTGTCTTCACGAAATTTGTAGTTTAGTCTCTTGTCTTTCTCTGTATGTACACAAAATAAAAGTTATGTTCCAAATATGACCACTGCACTGGGCTACTTATTTTCAAACACGACTGTACTCTGTGTGCTTGTTTATAAGACTTTTTCATATGTCTAGTAACTTGCTCGTAAATGTTCAATATCTTCATAAGACTTGTAGTTATGTACCTTTCTTCTCATGAGTTTCAGGATCAGTCAAATATCTATGTTCTCGTAAATGTTATATTCGAAATATTTTAGCTGCGCATATATGATCTGATGAGTTTTTCAGCAGCAGGGATGTTCTACTTGGGAGTGGTTTTCATCCTTTGAACATACTCGTCTCTATTAGAAATCTACATAGGAGTTTTAGATGTGCGTCTTGACATTCTACTGGAGAAGGAATTACTTTAATCGTGTTTTCTATTTGATTTTCAGCTTTCTCTCCCCCATCCCAGACATAATTCGTGTACCTCAAATTTTGTGTAGGTTCATTTTGTGTTATCGTTCGTTTGTGGTTCAACTGGTGGATCCTGATTTGCTTTTCTGGAGCTAAATTTCCTTATCTTGCTCCCCTGATGTAAAGAGAGAATTTTTGTTAGGACTTGTGTTTGACTGTCCATATTATATCTCTCGTTGTCATGTTTGTGGAACAACAGATTTGTTTTGGCAGAATGATGTAATGATCTGTGCTTTTTATACTGTCAGATTTAGTACTCCTTTTTAAGTACGATTGATTTTGTTTATGTTCATCTAGTGTTATCGTCGGACTTATGTTGGACTGTCCATATTGTTTCTCTTGTAGTCAATTTTGTGAAACAACAATTATGGTTTGGTCGAATGGTGTAAAGATCAGTGCCTTTCATTCTGTCTGAATCAGTACTCATTTTTAAGTACAATTGAATTTTTTGTTCGGTCCGAACTTTGGGGTTTTTGTTGGCTGTGATAACTTTGCATTTATTTTATCTGCCCAAGTTTTCATTGTCGCATCTTGTGCAAAATGTTCTAAACTTCTTATAATAACACTTGGAAACTTCTCAATTTTTTTCTTTCTAGTAGAACTGGATTTTATTCCTAATTCTGGTTTTTCTTTTTACTCCTTTGACATTATCCTAGTTAGGAATATCAATGTTAAATGATTGTGAGTGAGTAAATGGTAGTTTTGCTATTTTGAGGTGGAAGTGCGATCCTTGCTCACTAATTATTCACTACTTCATTCATTTTACGCCATTGTGATCACAGCAACTACCCCTGACGGTCACCTGGGCAGGTTGTTGGAGAAAATTTGGGCTAGTTCTGGGGAGTGCTTAAAAAACTGGGGACTTCATTATTTGGGGAGTTTCACCTAGGGAGGTTGTTGGAGCAAATTTGGGCTATTTGCTTGACAACTTGTCTTCACTGATTTTTGCACTTGTCAGCTCTAATGGAGCTTGTAAGTCTCTACACCGTTGACTTGCCTTTGCTTTATACATTTGATTGTGGTGTGGATAATTCAGGTTTATCTTCATTTTTAGTTGTCACTGGATTTGGGTTTTTACTGTCTTTGAGTTTATGCACTGCAACTTTTGATTGGCTTTGCTTGCTGTTTCTGATTGCAGACATGCTTGAGCGAGGGCAAAGGTTTTCACTTCCCTCCATGCCACATTCTGAATATTTCTGGCTTCAGGGTTTTATTTGATTGTCCCATGGACCTCTCGTCCCTAACAGTCTTTTCTCCTGTCCTATGGCACACAAGCACAATAGATAACGAAGATCATTTTCCCTGTTCTTGTGAAAATAGCGTGAGTTCCAGCTCAACTGAAGGAGAAAGGTTGAAAATTGACAAACCCCTAGATGCAACCAGTTTAATTCACGCCTTACCCCGATATAGAATGGTCAAGAACTTGCTTTTATGGGATATTTCATTCATTGATGTAGTGTTGATATCTAGTCCTATGGGCATGCTGGGGTTACCCTATCTTACACGGAGCAGAGATTTTTCAGCTAAGGTAGATTTGGCACTTAAGGTTATTCTCTCTGTGGTTTATTTCACTATTCTTGTTTTCTATTGAACAATGGTGACAATGTGATTGTCTTTGGCATGTGTGGTGGTCCAGGTGTATGCAACTGAGGCTGCTGCTAGAATTGGGCAATTGATGATGGAGGATCTTGTAAACATGCATATGGAGTTTAGGCAATTTTATGGGCCTGCAGAATGTGATGCGCCGCAGTGGATGAAGTGGGACGAACTTGAGTTGATTCCATTGGAGTTGAGGCTGGTCATTTGTGGTGCTGATGGGATGGCGTTTGGTGGTTGGATGCCATTATACAGGTACACATTGTATGGGTCTTGTGTTCGCATTTATTTGTTTTGAAATTATCTGGCTATGTTTTTCTGTGCTCGCTAGCCTTGCTTTACTTGTTTTTCTCTTTTATGTTCATAAAAAAATTTGATTTCCGAAATTTGAAGTATTAATTAGTGTTTTTTGAAGACCTTGTGTTTCAAGATGTAATGAGAAATATTTCTCAGTGCAGCTGATGTGAAGGCTTGCATGTCAAAGGTTCAACCTCTTAAGTTTGCTGAAGAAGCTTGCCACAATGGCATGCTGATTGTGAAACCATTTAGTTCTGGTTTAGAAATAGGCTCATGCAATTGGAGTGTCTCTAGTCCAAAAGGAAGTATTGCTTATGTTTCAAATTCTGTCCTCTCATCAACCACGGCAATGGGATTCGATTACAAGGCTCTTCATAGAATGGATGTGATCATTTATTCAGATTTCTCTTCGCAAATTGCCACAGACAAACTCGACGATGATAATAATTGCTCCGGTGCTGGTGTTGACCACTTTTCAAGTTTGAGGTGAGTTTACTATTTGATTGCTTAGCCTATGTTCATGGAAATTGGAAAAGGTTATATAATTTACATCTTGCTGAGGATACCAAATTTTTTTATTTTGTTTCACTAAATATTTTATCACAACATGTTGGATGCCTATGCGAATTTTCAATAAGGTGCATTATTTGCTCCGTCTTATATTTTCTCGTATTGATTTACTTATATACTGCTACCAATTTTTAACCAATCATTACTTGATTATTAATTTATTATCATTATATTTTTATTTCATATTCAATTACATTCCCGAAATGTGACCATCCTAATTTCATTTTTGTATTATTATTCTCTAAAGAAAAGGAATTTTTCAAAGCAAGAAGTTAGCCAATTCTTCTGTGGTTGATGACTCTCTTTAAATTCATAGCCGAATTAGTAGAGTACAATCACCCTTGTATTACATGCTAAACAAAATTTATACCTAAATTAAAATAAAAAAAAAGTAGGAAGAGAAGTTTTTGTTTTAAGTTTCAAATAATTCTCAAAATATTACATTATTATTAATAATTAAAATGACAGTTGTCATTTGTACGGCTTACCCCTTCTATATTATAATAATTTTTCTAATTTATTTTGTATAATGGACTTGATAGATAAATCTATTGAAATAATAAATAATTTTATAATATTCCAATTAATATTTATAGATAATTTAATATTGGTATTAAATCTATCGACTAATATTGATATATAATTTTATTATTCATATTGGATAATGGAATATATATATATATATATATATATATATATATGGATGTCAAATCAAAGCTCGCCACGAGTTGGTTAATTTGAATATATAAAAATATGATGACAAATACAGAAGTTTTTATTTTTTAAAAATATTTATAATCTGAGTTAGTCGAGTGTTTAATAATTTTGAAAGTCCTAATAAGCATGGATAGAAGTCCATATATATATGGAATACTCCAAAGCACCATAAATTTACAAATAGGGTTATGAAGCACCAGAAAATCGACACATAGGTTTGGAACTCTGCATTTATAAGAAGGGAGATGGAATTAGAGTAATGTTGTTGGTTGGCTAGTTTTTTTCTCATTTGGATTTTAACTGGTCGGAACTTGCAATCTACCCCTGCAGTGATGATATTATTACAAGTGCCACTCTCCTTAATGATGATGAGTACTTGGAGGAGATGGAGAAATTGGATTTCATATGTTCTTCCTCGGTGGACTCTATAAAAGCAGGGGGTTCAGTTCTAATCCCTATTGGACGCCTTGGGGTCATTTTGCAGTTGTTGGACCGTTTTGCCCTCGATTTGTCATCTGAAAACATGAAGGTACAATTTTAAATGCCAAAGATATAGGAGACATGTTTTTACTATTGATTCATTGAAGAATGATATGGTGTATTGTCACATTTATAGTTTGGACAAACAATTTAACGTTGAATGTTTCCATTTTCATGTCCAACGTCTGGTTGTCGAGCCTGTTTCCTTTTTCCATCATAAGAGTATGGAGAACCATAGATTTTTAGTATGAAAGAGGTGTGGTTTTGTGCCCTGATTTTCCGATTCACTGACTAATGCCGTAAATATGTAACATTCATTTATATCTTGTACCAATTTGCAGTATATGTTATTTTTAGCTCATACAGGTGAACAGTATACTGTTTTACTATGTTGCATACTATTATTCTTAAATACATTATAAGGAAAAAAAAAACATTATAGGGCAATACTGAGACTTGATGCATTATTCATTTTAAAAACTTCATTTTCAAGTTATTTTCCTTTTCCATTGCTCAAACAATCTTCATCCACTGTGTTGCAGGTTCCCATTTTTGTAATTTCATCTGTTGCAGAAGAGCTTATGGCATTCACAAATATTATACCAGAATGGTTATGCAAGCAACTGCAAGATCGTGTATGTCAAATTGAAGATTTTTTCTGAACATATATGAAATATGAGGTTTTACTGACTACCAAGCCACGGGACGATAAAATTTGTTTCCCTTTGTTCCATTATTACAGCTCTACTGTGGTCAACAATTATTTGCTCATTCAGAGATGCTTAAAGATGGAAGGCTTCATTTGTTTCCTGCCATTCATTCTGCCGAACTTTTGTAAGATATATCAATCCCTTGCATGTGAGGAGCAGCTGCTCCTTCTAGAATCTCAGAATTTTTTCTTTTCTGTTTATTTTTTGATATTGGCGGTGATTGTATGTAAAGAAAGTCCCCATTTCTTAAGTTAGAAAAAGTCAATTTAAATTTTTTTTATGAATTTTTGTAGAGAATGCACAATTTGCTTTCATTTTTTCTTTGGAGAAAAATTCGAATTCCGAATTTCCTTGAAACGATAATTTTTTTGTGTGATAATTTTCTTGCAATGATTACAATGCTTGCTGATATTATGAAGACAGAAAAATTTGGCAGGAGCCTTGCATAGTATTTTGTCCCCACTGGAGTCTACGACTTGGACCTGCTATTCATTTGCTCTGGAGATGGTGTGGAGATCCAAATTCACTACTTGTTATGGAGGTGCCTACATCATAATATGTTCATTTAAATGGAAGATAGATTTATTTTGTCGTCTACTATAATTAGCTTGAGCACTTCGATGGAGTTCAAGAAATTGCTATTACTTCTGGTATTGTTATATTTTATTTTTAACGTTTTGCGTATATTTACAGGACAAGGTGGATGCCAGTCTGGCTTTCTTGCCTTTCAAGCCAATGGCAATGAAAGTCCTCCAGTGTTCTTTCCTCTCAGGATTGCAGTAAGTTGTTTTCTTCTGTTTATCGTTTGAATTAGTAAATTCTCAACATTAATTATACCCCTTCTGCTTTGAGTTTGGTCTTGTTTGTTATGTGTACTTTTTGATGCTGGGAACCCCTAAAATGTGCTCAACTTCACACTTTTTATGTACATAATAAGTATATTAGAATTCTCATTGTTTTCCGTAAGCAAAGACAAACTTGAATTTACAAGCTGTAGAGTGCACTTCTTGCACCTCTGAAAGATATATTCTCTACTTAAAATTCTTGGGAAGATGATATATCT